CATCGCTTGCGGGTTGCTGTAATGTAAAGCACATAATCAACCCGTTTCGACTTCTGCATCCATACCGGGAACCACTCAGGTCGGACCTTTCCGTGGGTGCACCGTGCCAAAAGTGACATGATCCAGCTCTCGCCGCACCCCATGCGATGAACATGGCATTGTCCGAAGCATGACGAGGATGAGGCGAGACGATCCGAGGCCCTGGCTTGAGTCTCTAGAGATATGGAAATACTACCTGGCTCCACGCTCCATAACAGCGAGACAAGCGGGATCCTCAAGACAGAAACTGTTGCAATGCAAGAAATGACACACCTTAAGCTCATGCAACCAAAAATGCAGATCATGGACATGGACCTTGGGAGGTTGTTGGCCTCATGAAAACTGCGCCAGGAGCGGCATTCGACAAAAGTGTGATCATCAAATGATCCGTGCACCACCAGGAGAAGCAAACACAACACATGACGACCGTGTGGCCGATGTACTGTCCCAACGTTGCCTTCGCTGCTTTCTCGGCAGTCAAGGCTTCGGCCTGCTACAACGGAAGGATAAATTTGCGAGGCTCTTTAGGCTCGCAGTGGAGCGAAACGGCACATCTTTCGCTGTGGTAAAGAGATCAATCCCCATGTATGCTCTCGGGTCCCGGGCCGCCACCCCCCCCCCCCCCCCATGGTATCCCCCCCCCCCCCAACCCCCTGCCGCCCTGCTGCTGCACGCCCACCCGCCCTGCCCGCCCCGCCGCCCCCGGCCCGCACCTTGCCTGCCCCTTGACCTTGTGCGCGGATCGGGAGTGTCGCACTATGCCCTGCCGTGTGCGGAAAGCGGCATCTGACGTGAATTGCAATGCTGAATTATGAGGGTTGTATTGCGATGGTGATGGTGGCAGATCTTCTTTTGAAGGTATCAATGATGAACATGACGACGACAAGGATGATGTTGAGCATGGTATGATCGTCGACTCATGTCCCGGTCTAGAGCAGCACAACATCATGAGCAGTATCACCGGTGCCACAACAAGAGGGAAGACAAGGAGTAACACATAAGAACGTCGTGGCAAAAAGAGTACCACCACAGGCCCCACACCACAGGGGGGGCGGGGGGGAAGGGGGGAGGATACCATGGGGTGGGGGGGGGAGGGGGGGTGTGGCAGCCCTGCATCATGTATAGGCATGCAAGCTCGCACTGGTGCAACCGCCCATGCTTCGACGCAACCAACGATCGCAAGCAGCCCGGACTTCCGTATCAAACATGGGCTACCGACTAGTTCTTCAGATCCGCTGTCAGGCTCATAGCAGTACTGTGCAATTTCACCTGGAAGCGATTTTTTCTGAATTCGTTGGAAGATGTAGCGCGATCTCTGAAGCTCTCTGGCGACACTGCCGAGCATATGCCTTGTCCTTCTTTGTTTCCAACTCTTCTCTGAGATTGTCCAACCTTTGATCACAAGACATCACAAGGCTCGAAGGTTGGGGCTACGAGCTTGGTACATAAATCATTGATCGAGGCCGAGGATGTACATAGGAATGCAGTTTGTAGATGGAGCCGTGGCATTACTCGGGTTTTGTTGAAAGGACCGGTAGTGGCATCCGCGCTCTCTTCGCAGCACCATCCAACCGAAGATGATAGCATTCGCATGCATTCGCTGAAGTGGAACTCCAAGGCATGTGGCTGGATCAAATCTAAAGGAAAGGCGATCAAGCCCGATCCCAAATCTCATGGCAATTCGGAAGTGATTCAAGCGTGTCATGCACCAGCACCCTCCACCCACCACCTACCACCAACGAGCCCATCCTGGACGACATCTGACAGGTTTAACCAACAGGCCAAGGCACGCTTCGTTAGCTTTAATCTTGTCGTCGACCAGGTCTTGTATTTTCTGAGGCAGGCGGGTCACTTCGTGTGAGCTTACCCAGCAGGTTTCAAGCTTGAGACACCCCAGCGAATCCTTGCTGAAGCCGGCGAACTTACGAACACGATTTGAAGGAGTGCGTCTCGAAACACACACGCCCGAAATGCCAGGATTTAGGAGAGCTTCGACTTCCTGGCGCCAACATAACTTGATGTGTTGTTGGATCCTAAATACCAAGCACAACACCGGCCGCTAGAGCTTTCCACAACATTCCGGGGCCATCTTCGACCGCTGCAAGCAACTCCCCAGCCGTTACCCGGTACACAGCCGCCAAGTCCTTGTTCACCTCTTTCATGAACTCCCGATACCTCAGCAGTGTTCCGGCTTGCACAAAGCTCTGTCACGATCGTTGCCCGAGTCCCGAACTGGGCTTCCTTGCTCGTAAGATCCGCCTCTTTGTCCTGGGCGCAGGAATGCTACAACCAACGAGCTCGGCCCACAATCATTGTTGTGAATCTGTTTTTGGAGTTTGCGTGGCTTCTTGTTTGCATCCCCGAAACGGCCCCCTCCATTCTTCTCGGATGCTTGTTTTGTCCATCCTTCTCCAAGCGCCCAAACCCTCGATGGCACGGGTCTCCAACCTCTCCGTAGTCCACTGAATCTGGGCTCGAATCTCTGCCCGCTGTCAAATCTCTTGCCAGTATTGATGGGCCAATTGCACCTGACATGCCTTGGTGTTAACGTTCCTGTTAAAACCCCAGATTTGCTTGACAATTCTTGTTGCTGCTGCCATGTGTCAAACAGAGCAGACAAGTCTTTGCACGTGTTCGAATCTCCCCCTTGAGGGGTTGTCCAGTGTCGACCCCTCTTCAGACGCTTCAGACCGCTACATGCTCCGACATATGCCATTTGTCTGTGTACTGTACGGACGTGCAAGCAGCTATTCGGGTGAACACAGATAGTGAGTGCCAACACCATCACCATCACAAGGAGCAGTACCAACAACCGTGTCTCACACTTTAAAGTACTTTAAAGGCGAGGTGATGATCAAAAACTGAAATCACTCCCGCGTTGCCTATGCAAAAAACAGCAAAAATCTCAAGCTGACATAGACTTGCCCGCAACATTTTACGTCTTGCTTTGCAAGAGCTGCAGCCAAACGGCCTTGACCTCCTGCAGTGCCGCTGTAAGGGCTTGGTCTGCCTTGCCTTCGTCGAGGACGGCCTGTGAATGCGCAGAACGGAAGGGCTCGAGCTAGGGCTAGGCACCAAGCGCCTGTGCGAAATCAGGCAGTAGAGAATAGCATAGGCCAGAAGGCGAAGCACTCTCATCAGACGTCGGCGGCGGTGTCTCGGATTCCGCTCCGACGGGGCAGTGCTGCATGATGCAGAAAACTGGACACATGTCTGTCTGGGAATGAGCGGATGCCACTTCAAGTTGGACAAGGGAGCAGGCCTGGTCACCCCGAAGGACAGCCAGAACGTCAACATCAGACATGCAGCGCCGAGATGTTTTCCCACCGGAAGAGGCTACTGAAGTCGAAGTCATGTGCTTCTTAAGTACGTCGTACAACGACTTTCGCAGCAAAAGCAACCGAGCCGATTCTCCCATTCGGTTCGATATGCACATCAGGTAAGGCAAAAAGACAACGTGTAGGTGCATACAGTGCTTATGGAAGAGTAGTTGGTGCATGTTTGAAGGGTGTTCAAATCATGTTGCACCTTAATGAAACAAGCCGGGCAACAGTACCAACTGGTGCACTCTAGCCATGGTTTATGACAACAGAGAAAATGGCAACATGAACTGCAACCATGAAAAGAAATAGTACCAAACAGACGATGAGATCAGCTAGCAGCTGCTTACTCGCTATTCACCCCCTGAGCAGGTGGCACCGGCACATGCAACTCAACAGCTAGGCAAGCCTGAAATAGCTTCTACAACCGATACGGATACAGCTTCCTCCTCCTACTTGTTCCTTATTCGCGTTGCCCATAACCAAGTAAGTATGGAATTACATTGGATGTGCCATTGCATTTGCGCGCTTTGCTGTAGGAGTCGGGCCCTGGGTGTGCGCTGACCGCGTGTGTCGTGACCTCTTTTCTCTCTCCTTCGATGTCTCTCTCGCTCGCTCTTTCTCTCTCTGCTTTCTTTAAGCAAGCTCTGTCTCTCGCGCATAGGGCATGGAAGTTCTGGGTTCGCTGCACTCCATATAATATATTCGTTGGCTTTGAAATTTCTCCCGTCCTGCCTGCTCGGCCTCCGTCTTCTTCTTTTGGGCTTCGTCCCTTCCAGCACGATCTTGCATCGCTTGAGGCACTGCTTCGATGTCGCGAAGGCTATGTGCTGCATGTCATAAAAGCTGGCAGCCCCGAGCATTACTATGCAGTACTGCGCAGGAGGAATGCTCCGAACTCTTCTCTTGGCGGGCTGCACCTTCGAACTTCTGACTCCATCACCCCACACACAAACACAAACCATCCTGCCACCACTGGCTAAGCCACAGCCACAAGCAGGCGGCACCAGCAGAAGCATCATGCAACACCACTGGAAGCCCATCGCCTTTTCGCTGCAGCTTCCTCCATTGCCTTGCTGCTGGCGGCCTGGAGCTCCGAAGCCTCAGACGCCTCAAAGGGGCCAAGAGGCTCACGGAGACGGGTCGGTCTGATTGGCCTGCTAGGCATCATTAGGCATTGAACAATCCTAGAAGAGTCTTGAGACTGACTTGGCTTTGGTGGCCTCAGGAACCTCCTGCACGCTTAGTAAATATCTGCACCGCATTCGGTGAGGATACTGCCTGCGGTCCCTGTTGTTCCCAATTGACATGCTGCTGTCTATTGCTGTCTCAAAAACGTGCCGGTACTCAGCTTTGCAGACTGCTTGCGCAACATTGACTTCCGGATTCTGCAGTAGCGGAGGCGCTAGCTGCACTGGCAGATAAGATAGATCACACGAACCGGTCCAGCACAAAGCGTTGAATGGGCTCAGCAATGGTGTTAGATCTCAAGAGAAGCCCTCTTAGAGCTTGGATGTGCACAAAGACGCGCGGAGGTCTTTTCTCGTGCCTATGGCTGCTCACAGGCGTGAAGGCTCAAAAGGGGCCCCTAGCTGAAAGCCAAAACGCGGCATCAAGATACAATGCAACAACCACAGGAGGCTACGACTGTTGCACCAGTCCAAAAACTTTCTTGGATCTTGATGCCTTGGATGTGTACTGTTTCAGCTGGCTGACAGCATCTAGGCCCTGTTGCTTAGCTCGCTTGGCAGAAACAACAAACTGAGGGTTGAACCTCAACATCCAAATGCCAGTGCGTAGAAACTGTACAAAGCTCTTTCGACACTCTGGCGAACGTTTGGTCAAAGCATCCGACAGGTTGAAGTCACTGGCCAACCAAATCAGCTTGGTATGAACTCGGTTCATGCCCTCCTTGAGCTGATGACCTTGAATGGCCGCACGAGCATTGGATAACCCAAGGTCAGGTCCTTCGTGACGCATCACTGCGTCGTAACCTCCCTTGGAGTCGGTGCCCAGGATTCCTGGCACCACTGCTGCAGCTCGTTCTGCAGTCCGAAGAAAATTGTGCCCTCGATCCACCGTGGCACTGTTGAGCTCTGCCCAAGTGAGTCTGGCCTTGAAGTTCAGATCCTCCGACTCAACCATCGCTTGCACCTCCGCATCGGTTGACCCGATAGCCACTCGCTGCAGTTTCCAAGTCTTCCAATTCAGGAGGACAAGAGGTCCTGGCTCACCGCGGCCATGGCCTGGTCCTCCGAGGAATGTCAGGAGCCAAGAAAGGTCAGTCGACGTCAAGGGGCGCACTTAAGGGGCGCCCTTATAGAGCGCATTTTGGCTAAAAGGCGGAACCAATATATATCAATTTCGTTTGTTTCCGTTTCGACAGATGTTTTTTGGCGATCGACTCGTATATTTCCAGACTGCATGCAGGTAGTTCTGTTGTCAACTTCGTTTTTTTCCGTTTCGACAGATGTTTTTTGGCGATCGTCTCGGATTTCGACGGACTGGCATGCATGCACGTCAGTTTTTCTGCTGCTCGTGAGATGCACAGACGCGACGTACCGTAGAATTTCGGCTCGAATATAATCGTTTAAACAGCACGCATGAAGCAGCAGCCCGAAACCTGAAACGGTTTTTTTTTTACAGTGGCACTCATGACGGCATTCATGTCTTTTCGCAATGCACTCATGACGGCATTCATGTCTTTTCGCAATGCACTCATGACGGCTCTGGCCTCAGATGCGTTTTGTTATAATGCATGCATGGACCCGCTGCAGTTTCACCATGGTTTTGAATCTGTTAATGTCCACGACTGCTATATATAGCCATTTGGCGCCAGGTGCAGCTAGGACCAAAGCCTATAGTTAAAATGGATGGGACGGATCGGAGCCGCTCGCCCGCAGGATCGTGGGAATGGCGGTGGGCGTGGAAGAAGACAGGCGATGTTTGGTGGTGGAAGTGGTTCAAGGCTAGCAAAGAATGGCTAGAAGAGAAGGCCAAGACGAAGCAGAATGAAGACCAGCCTGCTGCTACATCCCCGGCATCATCGCCCCGAAAGCGCAAGAGATCCCGGACTCCATGAGCTAGATGGCTGTCATGAGCCAGGAGCATGCACATTAATTCGATTGCAATGCATTTTGCGGCTGGTGACGTACTGGCTGCCGGTTAAGAGGCCACCGGCTCCTGATCTTCAACTTAAGATCTCGAGGGCCGCCCTGGATCTATCGGATCATTTGTGCTCGCTCAAAAATGCCTGCGAGTCCAAGTATTCTAGGCATTTTCACGACCCTGACCGATTTAATTCCAACATGCTGGTCCCAGGTGAGCGATGAAAAGAAGCTACACGAGACGCGAGGATACGGAAGGTGCTCCCCGCCCCCAGCACGCATGCATGCATGCAGGGTTTGGGATTTGAGGGATCGAGCTGCATGCATGTCGCACGCATGCATCCTGTGTGTTTTTTCGCAGAGTTTTTTGGCTCGTGCATACATTAGATAATATACTATATACGCATCCATGCAATTATAATATATATATATATATATATATATATATTGATCCATCGAAGATGGCTGCCCGGCGAGTTTTTTTAAAGTCTCAGCGACAAGAGCGGAGTGAGTTTGTGTGCGGGAAACTGAAGATGCTCTTTGACGATGAGCACATAGAGCTTGTGGGCAAAACAGGAGAAATGTTCCCACGCGGCTCTTTTCAGAAGCCTCAGCTTCGTGCGGCTTTTCGTTTCACAGCAGAATGCAGTGGACGATTTTTCACGACCCGCCTTTGTAAACTCGTTGTTCGGAAGCTGCTGAATTTGCTGCAGATCGTTCCGATTCTGGCACCTGGGCAATCTTTCGCCAACTGGACCGATTGTCAGTCGAAACGACTGAAGTACATGGTTGCGAGGGCCAAGAGGAGCATAGCAGTGGACTTTGAATCGCCGCAGCCCGATGCAGCTCGTTTGCCTTCTGCAGCCATGGATTGCCTTGAGACGCAAGTGTACGATCCGACTCCTGCTGCTTCGTTGCAAAAAATGTATTATATATATATATGTAGTATGTCCATGCAGACACACAGTTTTTCACGCATCCATGTTCAGGAACGGACGAGCGACATGTGTCCCGAGGACGCTATTGCTTTCAAAGGAGCTGTGCCGAGTATGATCTTAAATTGCAGAGGACGAAGAATGGACCCCATTGCAGTGGCGACAGTCATTGATGGACTGCTTCATTTATAAACCGATCGGATCCAAGCATGCATGCACGCATGGTTTATAACTATACTTTGCACGCATGCATATTATAGGACCATTTGGGATGGACAGCAGAAGAAGCCGAAGAGTGGTTGGAGGCCTTCGAAGACAAAGGGGGCAGATTAATTTTTATAAGACATGCATGTGAGCGATGCTCAGGAGTGGCAGCCCCGTGGTTGGGATGCTGACGAAGTAGACACCTTGTTGAAGGTCTTCTGGCCGCAATGTAGGATGTTTGAGCATTAATAAGCATGAGGGCTATCTATTGAATATATGTGATGCTGAGGAGATGGACGATGAAACCGAGGATTGTGGGCAGTTCGTATTCTGGTAAGAATGCACATAGAAGCATGCCAGTGGTGGAGGAATTATTGCGACCAAAAAAGAAGGCCTGCCGAAAATTGGGTCGCTTCATGTTTTCTGTATAGGGCCTGTAGTATCGTCCTGGGCCAGGATCAAAAGTTGGCCAGCAGTCTGTCACAGCCCGAGGTCCAAAAAACTGTGTTTCTTAAGATTCTTTTGGGATCTTCCAAGGTACGAGGATGTGCCGAAGCCATCTTTGGAAACGAAGCCACGTGTCACCCCCATGGCTCAGAAGCAGCTCAAGTTGGCCAAGAAGCTGGAGGTTAGAGAACAGTGTACACGCATGGCACGCATGTCATTGGCAGCATTTAAAATGCATTCATGTATCACGCATGCACTCATGCATGCATATACAGGGACATTCATGTATCACGCACTCCTGCATGCATCCCACGCAAGCTAGCCATTCATTCCTGCAGGCCGAGAAAAATCGTGAGTGCTCAAAGAACAAGAAGACTCCCGCTGCTAAGAGCTCTGCAGCGAAGAAGCCCAAGCCGCCCTCGAAGGCTAAGCCGAGCAAGGCCCCGAGCAAGAAAGGCAAGGTTGAAAAGCCGACGAAGGGCCAAGAGAAGGCAAAAAGGGGTCAGAGTCACTACGGCCGAGCCTACGATGAGTATAAAGCCCGCTTTAGGCCCGGTGCTTGGAAGGTTTACAGTATAGATATTATATATTCACTCGTCCCTTCTAAGGCACGAGTTCGCCTGCGACCCGATGGGCAAGGTCTTCAGGGACGAGTTGTCCAAGAGTTGGCTGCAAAGCCAGGAAAGGTACGATGTGGTTTCGAAGATGAGTGCCAGCGAGAGATCCAAGAGACGGCTGACTTTGTAAGTTTGCTACATGGTAGCTGTTTCCTCAGTTGCAAAGCACGGGAACAATTCGTTGCAATTCGGTGCATGGGTTTGTGTTGCCTTTAAAACAGCACGCCCATAATTCGATCGTACTTCGTCTGCCCGCATGCAACAGGAGAGCAGAAAACATTCTAGTCTTAAGAATCAGACGCATGTCTCCACACATGCACATGCATGGATCGACATGCATGATGGTTTTTACCTTTTTCGCAGCCTTTGGTCCCGAATGCTGCTTTGGACGAGCTCGCAGCAGGATCGAACTGTGGAGGCAGCACCCTGAGAGATCGAGGTTTTTTTTTGCATGCATGCACGCATGGGTTACCAGAATATGGTTATATATACTAGCATGCATCGAGGTACTTTGTAGGTTGGAAGTCAGGCACTCATGGGCTCACGCATGCATGCACGCATGGGTTAGGGTACGTAGCATGCATCGAGGTTTACACCTTGTTCGTTGGAAGTCAGGCACTCATGGGCTCATGCACACATGCACGCATGGGTTAAAGTAGCATTTTGTTGTAATTACCCTGGTGAGGTCGCTTTAACGAGAACCTTGTCGCCGACGATTTGTCGTTGCCTTGGCATCCTGATTCTTCGCAGATCGAGGTCTGTGCACGCATGCAAGTTTGACTCCTGAGTCAACTGCTGCTTTGGCTCTCCAGGTCATGTGCATTGAACCATGCAGTTGCAGGCATATCGTGGGATGTATACCATAGACCATAATTTGGCAGGGTTTGAGGCTTTATAGGGCTTTTTTTTGCGGGTCCGGTGCCATGGAGCCGCCGAAGGCAGGACACCAAAGCAAAGTTTGGGGAAAGCGGGTCATGCATGCATCTGGACCAGGCCGATGAAGAAGCCTCCGCGGGGAAGGCACGGGCACGCACAGGGAGAAAGCTTTTAAACTATCGTGCATGCATCGAGAGGAGGACCCCGCCTCGCCATCGGCAAACGTCGCAGCCTTAGCAGGCATTCATATTTGCTGATACATATATAGTGCTCCCCAAACTATATATTTGTTGACCTGAAGACATTAAGGACACTTTGGGTTTCACCGTGGTTTCTTCTCCACCTCCGGTCCTGACCTCCAGCTGTATATGCACACTAGAATCCTGACAGCACTGAAACTAAGGAGCAGCCTGCAAAGAATGATCCGGTCGTCGAGGCCAGTTTGCGACCCTCTGCCCCCCGCCTGACAGCACTGAAATTAAGGAGGAGCCTGCAAAGGATGATCCGGTCGTCGAGGCCAGTTTGCGACCCTCTGCCCCCCGCCTGCCCACATGCATGATCACTCATGTTGCACACATATATAAGCAACGGCATGCATGTGCCCACATGCATGATCACTCATGTTGCACACATACATGACGGCATGCATGTGCCCACATGCATGATCACTCATGTTGCACACACTAAACCCTAAGCCCTAAACTCTAAACCCTAAGCCCTATAATACGCCCTCAAGCCTTATATAAGCAATAACTGCATGCATGTATGGATGATGATGATGATTTTAAACAGCTTGCATGGCAGGATCAACAGGCGGTGATGCGACGACACATTGAGTATTTGGAGACCTTGAAAGTCACAGCATCCAGCCGAAGAAGAGCTTTTATAGCAGAGGCCTATTCGCTTCCTGAGTAATTACCTAAATATAGCAAGAAAATTAGAAATAAAACTGGTCAGTT